TAGGGGGCACAGGGGCCTAGTCCAGCCCATCACAACAACTCAAAGGAGTTCAGGGTCATTCTCAACTCTTTTAGCCCACGAACCTTCACATCAGTGCCCCCAAAAGTGAAACTCCTTCAAAAGGCATGTCCTGAGCAATCTGTTGGACCTCCTGCAGAGCCCGAGGGACTTCCACCAGATTCTCCGGACCACGTCAATGGCACTTGAGTCAGCCACTTGTAAAGAGGCCTTTGACGCCAATGTTTCCCTCATCCACCATTGAGGAGAACTCTTGTCTGGTTTCTTGTAGGAGCAAATATTTGACTGTTTGCACAAAGTCCCACAAGTTAGAGTCACATGTATTCACCAGCAACTGCTGGTTTGCAATTCTGAGTTGCAACTCTCTGGTAGAATAAACTTTCCTCCCCAACAAGTCTGATTCCTTCGAGTCCTTTGACACTGGGGTTGCGCCCTGTCTCTCTCACTCACTGGCAGCAGATACCACCAGGACTCAGGGGAGGAGTATAAGGATGCATCTAGACTGCCATTTTTCCAAAAAAAAAGTCACTTGCGTCCACAGGGCTACTGTGTTCTTTCAAAAGAAAATCGAAAGAATGCAGAGGTTTTTCCAACATCGGTAAACTTCATTCTACCAGGAAGAATGCCTTTTCTGAAAGAGCTCTTTCAGAAAAAGGTGTGTGTGGATGGGGAAGAGGGCGTTCTTTCGAAAGAAGAGGAAAGAGGAAAAAGCACAGGTGCCCTAGTGGCCACTCCGTCCATAGCAATCACAGCTGAAATGCGAGAGAGCGTTCATTCAATGTGGACACTCTCTTTCGAAAAAGCAGATCACTTTTTCGATGTGCTTTGGCAGTGTGGACGCTCTCTTTCGGAAGAAGTGTTTTTGGAAGATCTCTTCCGAAAAAGCTTCTTTCGAAAGAAGCCTGCAGTCTAGACGTCCCCTAAGAGATCTTGCAATCTTAGGCGAGAACAAAGTATTTTCATTCGTCCCCTTTGGAACTGATGGGAAGGAATGCACAAAATCTTCCTTGGGCCCGTAGTGGCCTCATTGAGAAGCAGGGCTACTTTGGAAAGGCCCACAGCGGTTAAAATGCCGACTAGACCATGGAACAATACTTTTAAGACCTCCATCTGTAGTCCCAGATTTAAGGCCACCCTTTGTAACAACTCTCCATGCATGTGATAGCCATCTGGGGGAGGTAACACTCCCCACCTGAGCCTGCCTCACCACGGAAGGAGGAAGAGGATGCCGGCAGCAGCTGTGGCTTCTCTTCCTCCCTGTCTGCATGAGGAGGGCCCCACCGAGCTGACTCTCATAGTTCGACAGCAGGGTCTGGACCGGGTGCTGCCTGATGGGACAGTGATGCTGTTCTTTCCGAGGCCACTGAATAGCAGTACCTGGAATATACCCTAGAAAGTGGGGGAATCCCCCCCCCCCCAGGTTCCAAAATGGCCACCAGACTGGGGTGGGTTCCCTGTGGCTTCCTGGCCAGCCATTCAGTGGGGCTTTTCTGCCAGGGATCCATGGAAGGGTAGAAATGCCTGGAGGCATGGTGAGAGCAATTCCTCAGATGGGAGGAGGACCTGATCTCCAACCCAGAAGAGGCTGAGTCCCCTCCCAGTGATTACGGGAGTGCCATTCCCACCGGTGTCAGAGATCAATGCCGTGCAAACACAGCTGCTTGCTGTGTAACTTTGGATGTGTGGTATCCACTGTACCTACCCCCACTGTGTGAGCCTGATCGACTCAAGCGTAGTTGATGGTATGGAAATAAAGACACACGAGTGACAAGTTCGGAGTCAAGTTCCTGGGAATCACGTGGATAAGGTCCCAGAGGCGAGGGCGTGCAGAAGATCTCAGAAGCCACCCCAATGTACTCCTGAGCGGAGAAGGTCTCCGAGGCTACCCCCAGCCAAAAAAACTTTATCTGAAACCCAATGACACTGATAGAAAGATTCCCATTGACTTCAGAGATTCTGCCCGGGGGTTCTAGCCTGCAGACAGCACACATGCTAGGGCGTGAGCCTAGATCCAAAGCAAAGAAAGAAGAACTGGCTGCACATTTCCATTCTGGGTTCAAACCAATGGGACCAGGACTGTCAGTTTCAGAGCGGGGAGCGCAGGGAGGATGACTGAAAACTGCCAGGAAAACTAGGCACCGCCATAAATACATCGAGCCAGGAGACCCTGTGTCACAATTTGCACCTGCTGCTAACGACAGCCTAATGTTACAGCTCTCTCGCGTCATTCCTAAAGAGCAATTTTATAGTCCTCTAATTTCATTGACTGGCAACATAAATGCCGGAGCCAGTAAATAACGGGGCCGCTTTTGTGTTGTCGCGTGTGTGTGTGTTTAATTTCCGTCCTCTCTGCTCCTCGTGGATATTTTCTTGGATCCCAGCCAGAGCGAACGCACTCACCAACTGCTCCAGACATACCATTAGCGGCAATATATATCCAGCCACTTGAGACTGCGTCCATGCTAATGGCTCAGAAAAAGACTTTCCAAGAGCTACTTATCAGCACGCCAGGCACTCGGAATATTTCATGAGTGTCTAGGGCGAGGACCTGGAGGAGCTTTGGCGCTGCCGGGGCCTGGAGGAGATGCCATCAGGGCAGCAATGCGCTTCCCTGCGGCATCTGAAAGATGGGGCATGGGTGGGCTGCTGCCTGTTGCGGAAGCCCAGCCGTCGCCTGGGTTGGGAGGTGCGGGGAGGGAGCCTGGCACAAAAGAATGGGAGACGTCTCAGCATTGTCAGCTGTAGGATACGGCCTTGAGGGAAGGACTTCAGGGTGGAGTCCGCTAAGCTCTGCTATGCAGTCGGTCTGAGTAGACTATTGCAATGGCCCCAAAGAGCCTTAAAATCTGACTCTAGGGCTACGTCTACATGGCGGATGCTTTGCAGAAGAGGAAATGCAAATGAGTGCTCATTTGCATATCGTACACTCTTATTTGCATATCTTCTTCCCATCCTTTTTGTGGAGGAGGTTTTTGCAATAAAAAGCCCTGTGTAGACGCGGCCATTTGTTGGAACCCCCCCCCCCAAAATGAGGTGTACAGGCTCTTGTGCAAAAGCGTGTTTTTTTCTGACAAATGGCCCCATCTACACAAGGCTTTTTATGGCAAAAACCTCCTCCGCAGAAAGGATGGGAAGAAGATATGCAAATGAGAGTGCGAGATATGCAAATGAGCGCTCCATTTGCATTTCCTCTTCTGCAAAACACCCGCCGTGTAGACGGAGCCTAGGAGATCGTTTTGCCCCCTTGGTGGGATTTGGACAAAATAACTTTGGAAATAGAATTCAGCTTCCTCCCCCCCCTTGATGTTCAAGTGCTCTGGGTGGAAGTTTTCAGAAGCAGCCACTAATTCTGGGTGCCCCCTGCATTGCCCTCTCCAGTTTTCTTCTCTCTCTTCTCCCATCCGTCCTAGTGCCCTCCCCACCTCCCCGTTGTCCCTTCCCCTCCTTCTCCTTGAACAACACAGGTGGTAGGAAACCACACCGGAAAGGAAAGCACCCAGGGGGGAGGGGTCCCCCATTTCAAGGAGGCAATAGTCCCCCTGACAAACCCTGGTTCTCACTTGGCACGTGACTGACACACCCCAGTGCTCTCTGGTTTTGGTCAGACTTGTGACGGTTCAGTAAACACTGGGCGGCTTTTTTCTCCCATCTCCTTCCTCTGAAGCATCTGGGATGGAGGCCGCTGGGGAGGGGACGCTGGAGGGGGTGGGGCGGGGCTCTGAGGCGGCCGTGAGCTCGCTCTCTCTCGTGCTTGGCTGGGCTGGTTCTTGCTCACATGCTCAACCTCAGTGATTTTCCCCTTCCCCTGCAGCGTGTGCGTGCAGGTCACTTGCCAGCGTGTGCATGCAGGTCACTTGCCAGCGTGTGCGTGCAGGTCACTTGCCAGGCCTAGCCGGATAGATCTCATTGAAACATTTCCCTGCCATTGAGGGGGCCACATGTGCTGATGCTTCTCAGTCCTTCCTCGGCTCTTTGCCTGGGACAACTCACTGTCTAGTTCCCCGTGGGCTGAGGCCCCGTTTCGGCTGCTGGGTTTCGTGTGAGGGTGGCCTGTGGAAGTCAGGCTGGGTGGTGCTAGTCTCGTGGAAGGGGCCTCGAGAGGCCATCTAGTCCCGCCCTCTGCCCTCATGGCAGGACTAAGGATTTTCTAGACCAGTGGTCCCCAACGTTTTGGGGCTGCCGGGCGCCTGGGGGCGGGGCCGCTCACGCACTGGGCGTATGGGGGGGGGGCCGCTCACAGGCCACGTGACTGGGGGCGGGGCCAAGCATGCGCTGCACACCCGGGGCCGGCACCGGCATGCGCCGCGCGCCCGGGGGTGGGGCCAGCCCAGATTGCTCTGTGGGTGCACATAAATGGCCCAGAGGGCGCCATAGCACTCACGGGCACCGCGTTGGGGACCACTGTTCTAGACCATCCCTGGCATGGGCTTGTCTAACCTGCTCTTCGACATCTCTAGCGATGGAGGTCCCCTCCACCTGGCCTCGAACTATCCAGTTCTGTAACTGCCCCACTCCCGTGTGGCTGTGGAAAGGCCAGCGTCCTCCAGGGCTGCGGCGCTTCTGAGGGGACTTCCCCCCCACACACACACAGTCAGGGCCATATCCTCAGCTGGTGCAAACGGGTGCCACTCTATTGGCCTCAGGGGAGTCCTGGATGGCTCAGGGTATTCAAGGCAATGGCGCTATCCAGGCCTGCACTCTGACTCTGCCCCGGAGACTGCGGGGTTGGCCGGACGTCTGGGATCGGTGCTGGGATTCAGCCGCCAGTGGTGGGGGGGAGGGGGGTGGCCTGTATCATCCAGGCTGGGCTGTGGTCAGGGGAAGCACCTCCGTGAGACAGGCGGCGTCTGACCTCCCCTCGCGAGAGGCAGCGGGGGTGCTGCATGAACTGACAGAGCGCAGCCCCAGCCCTGAGCCCAGACAACACAAGAGGGATGGGCCCTGACCCTCCGGGGCCAGCGTGGGGGCAGGAAGCCACTTACGTCGGTGATCCGGGGATTGGTGCATTTGCCCCTGGTGCCGGACAGTTCCAGCCACTGGTTCTCCTGGACGGGACAGTGGTGCTTCAGCGTGCACTGGTTCTGTCCCTCGCACCAGCCGCACTCAAAGTCCGGGTCGGCCTTCAGGCACAGCCCGCAGCTGTCCCGCATGGCCCCGCACTTGTAGAGGTGCACTGTGGGGACAGCAAAGGAGAGAAGAGATCCTCAGGGGCGTACAGAGGGAGGGGGAGTGTGGGCAGGGGGGCTGAGAGGTATAAGTAGGAGCAATGGGTGGAAAATGAACATAGGGAAACATAACAGTTCTTCTATAAGTTATATCCAATACCATATGAGATGGGGGGAGAGTCTCCAAGGGGAATAAAGAGAAAACCCAGTTGCTATAGTCCTAGGTTGAGCGCTGGGGAATTAGGAGACATAGGCGCCGTTCCTACCTCTGCCAAAGACTCCCTGTGGGCCTTTGGCAAGTCCTTTAGTCTGTCTCAGCCTTGACTCTCCATCTGTAAAATGGGGAGAATAATCCAGCTGCTATGAGGAAGCCTAGTCCGAACTACCTAGCGGACATTTAAAAATCCCGGGCTTCATTTGCAACTCCGGTTGCTGGGGAATTAGGAGACATAGGCGCCGTTCCTACCTCTGCCAAAGACTCCCTGTGGGCCTTTGGCAAGTCCTTTAGTCTGTCTCAGCCTTGACTCTCCATCTGTAAAATGGGGAGAATAATCCAGCTGCTATGAGGAAGCCTAGTCCGAACTACCTAGCGGACATTTAAAAATCCCGGGCTTCATTTGCAACTCCGGTTGCCTACATTGCCACCCTAGTTCGAACTAGGGTGGTAGCGTAGACATACCCTTGGTTATTTGGATTGTGCCGCGTTGGGGTAGGGGTTGTCTCTAGTCAGTGAGGGGTAATCTAGGTTAAAGCAGCGCCACTCGTGTGGCGCACTCACTATCTCAGCAGGCCGCAAGAATGGTTATGGGGGTGAGGTGGTTTTGCGCACTGCGCTGGAGGGCCTAGAATGTGCGGGGCGTGCTGTTTGAACCGTAGCAGCGTTTGGCTTGGATGCAGAGGGAGCGCACAGCTCTCAGTCAATGTAGTGTGCAATCAGCACGCACCTCACTTGGCATATTCTTGCTTTAAGTGCATGTCACTTTAGTAGGGAAAAAAAAAGTTGCAGAAGGAAACCAGCAGGATCTGGCAACCCTAGGAGTGGGCAACAGTAAATAAAATGTCTTGTGGGCCACACATAGACCCCCGAGGGGCTGCAGGTTGCCCATCTCTGTTCTACGGTGTATGCACAGTGCCTCAGGCCAGCTGGATCTTTGTTAGGGCCTGTAGGTCCGGTCATGAAATGAATAACTAAAATGCAAAACCAACAACAAGAGACGCAGGATTTCTGGTTTGGATCTGGAGTTCCAAATGAGCACGAGCACAAAAAAGATACACTGGTATTAGAAAAGGTTCAGAGAAGGGCAACTGAAATGATGAGGGGTTTGGAACGGGTCCCATTTGAGGAGAGATTAAAGAGACTGGGACTTTCCAGCTTGGAAAAGAGGAGACTAAGGGGTGATGTGATGGAGGTTTATAAAATCATGAGTAGTGTGGAAAAAGTGAATAAGGAAACGTTATTTACTTATTCCCATAATATAAGAACTAGGGGCCACCAAATGAAATTAATGGGCAGCAGGTTTAAAACAAATAAAAGGAATTTCTTCTCACACAGCACATAACCAACCTGTGGAACTCCTTGCCCGAGGAGGTTGTGAAGGCCAGGACTATAACAGGGTTTAAAAGAGAACTAGATAAATTCATTGGGTATGTCTACACTGCCACCCTAGTTTGAACTAGAGTGGCTAATGCAGGCATTCGAACTTGCAAATGAAGCCCGGGATTTAATAAAGGCCCGTAGTTCGAACTATCTGCCTGCGGCTACACGCGGCACAGACTAGGTAGTTCGAATTAAAGCTGCTAATTCAAACTACCGTTATTCCTTCTGCAAGGGGGTTTAACGGTAGTTTGAATTAGGATCTTTAATTCGAACTACCTAGTCAGTGCCGCATGTAGGTAGTTCAAATTATGGGCATTTAAAAATGGCACCCCGCCCGGGAACATGCAAATGAAGCCCGGGATATTTAAATCCCGGGCTTCATTTGCAAGTTCGAATGCCTACATTGTAGGCAGTGTAGAGATACCCATAGAGGTTAAGTCCATTAATGGCTATTAGCCAGGATGGGTAAGGAATGGTATCCCTAGCCTCTGTTTGCCAGTGGGTGGAGATGGATGGCAGGGGAGAGATCGCTTGATCATTACCTGTTCGGTTCACTACCTCTGGGACACCTGGCATTGGCCACTGTCGGCAGACAGGATACTGGGCTGGATGGACCTTTGGTCTGACCCAGTATAGTCATTCCTATGTTCTTATGTTCCCTTCCTGCGGTGGAGGCAGGAGAGGAGGTTCCAGATTTGGTCCCTCTCAAATGCAAATGCCAAGGATTCCAGATGGAGCCCGAAGCAGGCTGCAGCCGGGTCTCAGCCTCAGAGCACGCTGCGGCAGGGGAAGCCCTGTTAGAACAGCTGACTAGAGGGCTGGGCTTTCCCACTGTGAAAATTACACTGTGAACTCGCTCATTAAAGGGCCGCTGATAGAAAACCCCTTTGATGCCCTCCGCCCGGTCAATAGTCATTCATGCCATTACACGCCGTGCCATGGCTTTCAAAAGACCGCCATGCGAGAGAAGGGACCGGGGTGACTTAGGGGATCGGTAATGGGGCCTGTTTCCTGCACGGAGACATTTCAGACCCAGTCCAGGTCGGTGGTGTGTGACTGACAGCTGCTCTGAGGATACTAGGCTAGTGATCTCAGCCCAAGGAATAGTGCACAGCGGTGGACGTCACAGATAGCCTTCCCTCCTCGCAGCCTCATCAGAGAGGGCTGAGTGGGCAAGGGGCTCCCTTCTCATTGCTGGAGAGGAAGGACCGAGGTGCAGAGAGGGGAGCAAGCTGAGGGAAGCTGGCTCAGCCGCTGATCTATGGACGGACAGAGGTTCTCGCTCACTAGGGATTCTCCAGGACCAATAGAGCACCCGGGGCATTGTGTTGTGAACCTGGCTCCTGCAGAGCGCATCAGGCAGCCCTGGGCGGCATAGAACGAGGCTGCTCTGCCTGCTTGGAGCTAGGTGAGAGCTGCACGCATGTGCCTGGACACCCAGCTGCCAGCAGGGCGAAGGGATGTGGCATGTTGTCTGAACAAGCCCATCGATAGCTTGGAGGAACCTGTCACCTGTCACTAACCGAGTATCAGCTGCCACCTCGCTGACAAGCGGCAGGCAGGAAGACAGGTGCGCAGGGGGTCCAGGGGAGGGGCAGAGACCAAGGGGACAGGTGCAGGGGGAAGGGGACAGGCTACATCCTATGGGGAAGAAGATGTGTCACCTGCCCATGGTGGCTGGCTCTGGAGAGCACCACGTCCAACCCTTGCCAGCCAGAGGGAGGTTCTCGGGCTGATCCAGGGAAAGTGGAGGGGGAAGATGAGAGCTGAGGAGGAGGCCAGGAGGAGGATGGAGAACCAAGTGAGGCAGGAGCCGGGGGGCAGGAAAGGGGGGAAAGAAAACCTAAGGGAGGGGGGCGCAGAGTGAGAAAAAGGGAAGCGGTGGAAGGTGAGAGAGGGTCTGAGAGGAGAGGTAGCCCCGGGACCACTGGGGAACCGAGGGTGGAAGAGGAGGCTGGGGAGGAAGGGGGCTATCCAGAGTCAGTGATCCTCTGGGCTAATATGCTTGCCTCTGGGATGTGGCTGACTGTGTGACAGCCTTCCCTGCGAGAGGCAGCTCTGCCCCAGCCATCCGCTGCAATTAGCTGGAGTCAGGCTCTCCGGCCGGGAACGGGTCTCAGTCCTTTTCCATTATCACTTCGCTTCATTCAACCTTTCCGCAGCGGCAGGCCACCCCCCCCCCTCTGTTCATTACCAGATCGCATCTGAACGGAGACCAGAGGAGCTGCGGGTGCATTAACTTGAAGAGCCTTATTGCAAGGGAGGTGACGGGGAGAGACGGAAGGGAGGAGGGGATGGGGGGGCAGAGGGGAGGGGCACAAGAGAAACCTGGGAGAGGGGAAGAGAGTGGGAGGGCAGTGGGGGAGGGGAATCCCACTTCTCAGGTGCTCAGCGGAAAAGCAGAACAGAGAAATTAGTAATTTGCCGGGTGCACGGAACAACCATGAGGTAGATTGCGCAGATAAACGGTGGCTGCTTTGTTAAGTGTGCGGAGTGATGTGGTCGGTTGCTAAGGTTACTGCTTCCAAGGACAAGTTGAAATAATTCTTTACCTTTGTTCTGCGCTGGGTTGTCAATGTTGAAATTCCCATTCCACACGACTGTCAGCTCCACCGGCAGGCTGTTAATCTCCATCCCTTCATATGAATACTAAAAACAGGCGAGGAAAACAAAACAACATCAAGCCCAGCCCGGGGGGCAGCCCCCACCACAACCCATGGGCACGGGAAATGGCACCTTCACTTTCCCTTCCCATAGGCCGCTGACTATAGGGGCTCCCACGGCTCAGTGCTCTGAGGGACGGTGACAGGCCACGCTCAGTGGAGAGAACTTCTCTCCCTTGTTCAGTGTCTGCTGGCCCTCAGGTGCTAGCCGATAAGGGAACGGCCCAGAAGTCAGGTGTATCTCTTAGGAGTCCTGTTTTGGCAGGTATCTGTGAGGTGCACTTTCTAGGTGTTGGGTTTATTTCTGAGGTGTACCTTGTAGTGTTGGGTGTTTTTGGTATTGAATGCATCTCTGAGGTGTACCTTCAAGGGACTGGGTGTACTTTCTTGTTGCATATGTCTTTGGGATGTCTCTTCCAATGATTGGGCCTACGTGTAGATTGCATCCCTTGTTCGTAAAAGGGATGCAAATTAGATGTAGCCTGAGTGTATATCTCTGAGGCATAAAGTGTATCTTGGAAGCACTGGGTGTATCTCTGAGGCGTTGGATGTATCTCTGAGGTGTAGGGTGTATCTTGGCAGCACTAGGGGTATCTCTGAGGCGTAAGATGTATCTTGACAACACTAGGTGTATCTCTGAGGCATAGGGTGTATCTTGGCAGCACTGGGTGTGTCTTTGAGGCATCGGATGTAACTCTGGGTATGTCTACACAGCAACATTATTTCGGAATAACTAGCATTATTTCGAAATAACTTAGTCCATGTCTACACAGTAGGCAGTTATTTCAAAATAATGTTGAAATACTGTCAAGCTGGAGGACTTCTTACTCAGACTCCTGTAACCCTCATTGTAGAGGAGTAAGGGAAGTCGGAGGAAGAGTGCTCTATTTCGAAATAAGTGCTGTGTAGACACTTCCAATTTTGAAATAAACTATTTCGAAATAAGCTACGCAATTGACATAGCTCAATTTGTGCAGCTTATTTCGAGTTAAGCCCTGGTGTATAGATGCACCCTCTGAGGTGTTGAGAGTACCTCTGTTTTGGGGGGAGGGGGCATGTCAGTCTGTTTCAGCAAAAACAGTGAGTAGTCCTGTGGCACCTTAAAGACTAACAATTTTATTTGAGCAAAAGCTTTCATGGGCTCCATTTTGGAAGAGATATATACATAAGATGGGAGTGTTACAATACTACAAACAGGACCCGCTTATGACCAAATAAATTGTTAGTCTTTAAGGTGCCACAGGGCACGTGGGTGTATTTCTGAGGCACTGGGTGTATCTCTGAGGTGTTGGGTGTATGTCTTCAGTATTGTTTGTATCCCTGAGGTGTCGAGTGTATTTCTACAGCACTGGGCATATCTCCAAGATGCATCTGCCTGCAGCATGGTGCTGAAATCAGAAAAATCCCCCCAAAATTAACCATACATCAGATAGAGAAGACTTATTCCGTTACTGCTTTCATAAGCATTAGAATGAATTCAGACAACTATAGGCAGATCAGCAAGATCATACCAACAACCAAGCACGCATGTTAGTGTGCTCTACAGAACTGCCACTATGCCACATCCCTAGCATCTTATGTTTGCATGGCATCTTCCATCTCAAAGAGGCAGAAAACGTTTTGTACCAAATGCAGCCACCTCTGGGGTGGAAGGTGGCAGCTGTTTAACAGTGCACAGCAATAGTATGCAGCACATCTGGACAGGCTCTGAAAAGAAATGCTGCCCTGAGCTGACCCCTGAGCAGGGGTGAGGTTAAGTAAGCTACCAGGGCTGGAATTCTGATCCTGAGACAGGGCCGCTAGGATTTTTAATGGTGAGAATAGGGGCACGCTAGCTCAGTGCACCTTGACCACAGGCGGTGTGATGGCTGCCCCCTTTTTTTTTTTCCACCAAGGCCACCATATCTAGAACGTTCTGCTTCCCCATGGGGCACCTCACCCAGCACCAGGCGGCAGCAACTCAGGTGAGAAAAGGCATTGTGCAGTTAACAGGGTGTCACTTCTTCTCTAGTTCATTAAACTCAACCTTCGGCTGTGTGCACCTTTACATTTCTAAACAAGCAGAAAGTAATTGCTTGGTGGAAGGGCTTAAACAAAGCCCTGATTCTACCCAGGGAACGATTAACGGAGCTGCCGGCCTGACCAGCTCTGCCCCATACTCCCCTGGGGAAAAGCATGCAAACCTCTTACCGGGCCTGCTGGCTCCTGATTGGTTAGTTTCCTTTCCTGAGCCATTTAAGCCGCTTATGGGCTAAGTGCTGTAGTAGCCAGGCCTGAGTAGGTTTTCCTAGGTAGAGGCATGTCAGAGCGCTGATGACTCTAGTAGGAGATCCCATGACATGGTCCCACTTCTACATAAGAACATCAGCACAGCCATACTGAGACAGACCAAAGGTCCATCCGGCCCAGTATCCTGTCTCCTGACAGTGGCCAATGCCAGGTGTCCCAGAGGGAGGGAACACAACAGGGAATCCTCACGTGATCCCTCCTGTCACCCATTCCCAGCTTCTGCCAAACAGAGGCGAGGGACACAATCCCTACTAGCCATCGATGGATCCATCCTCCATGAATTTATCTAACTCTTTTTTGAACCGTCTTAAAGTCCTGGCCTTCACAACATCCTCTGGCAAGGAGTTTCACAGGTTAACTGTGTGCTGTGTGACTACTAATTAATTGCTGAGAACTAAGATTACAGCCAAGAGCACATAACCCAGATCCTCACATATCTAGGAGCTGAACCCCGAATGATTACTTGTGCCATTTTGAATCTCAGTACTTTTGGTACCTTGGCTGTCCCATACTGCACTTCTTTGTTGCTTGCACTGTGAAGCAGTAAAATACCTGTCCTGGGCATGAGCAACCAGGCTAGTGCTGTGCCTTCCAATGCTGGCAGGGTACTGGTGCTCATGCTCTTGGCCGGGTATTTTACTGTTTTTGAGGGAGGACGGTGAAGCCTAACCGCTTATGGGATAAGCGCTGTAGTAGCCAGCCAGTGCTGGTCAAACTGGGCTAAGCAGCAGCTTCCATGTCTATGCTGGTTACAGTGCCTCCTCTGAGAGGAGGGACGAGGAAAGGAATTAAGAGTCGATCTGATCCTTCAACTCCACTGCAAACCTTTCCTGAGGTTTGAGTCACATTTGCTGCATTATCCTCCCACCCATTATTTTATGCTGCTTCTTGCACTTCCTGCTAGACAGGAAGCAGAACTGCTGACAATTCATGAGAACAGGGGTTTCCATGGAGATGGATCCTAGGGCACGTACTCAAGATTTGCTCGACACTTGGGCCAACCTCCCACTTACATCACTGGGAGTTTGTCTAGAAACAGGCTGAACACTCAGGGAGGGCCCAGACTTTGGCTCCGGGCATTTTTGGTCCAGTCCAAAGCAGGGGCAAGGTTTGGAGACCACACAAGATCACCCGCCACCTGATTTCTGGACCAAACGGCTGCGCCAAAGCCAGGGCTCTGAACCTTTTGCAGGTGGGTTCACCCATCACTGCTAACTGTCGCGTAATTGCAGGGTAAAAGCTAGGATGATTTCAACCCATTACAGCAGAGTTAGTGCTAGTTACACGGTAATTTCTTTCTGAGCAAGCTAAACGCAATTAGCCCGTAATCTGCAGGAACCTGTGATTATGATTTAGTGGCAAGGTATTTATGGGAAGCGCGCTGTGTGGTTACCATGGAGGTGAAGAGCACTCCCGGGATAGCAATGCCCTGTACTGTATAGTTGCACCCGCCAATCTACTCCCTATTAGCATTTTTATGACACTTCTCCGTGTCACTTGGAATCAACTGTGGGATAATGCAAAACAGCCTCTCCTCAAAACACTGATTTTCCACAGCACACCTTTCACCTCAGCACAGCCAGAGCCGCTTGAGAGGCTGGGCTGCTGGACAGAGAAACGGAGATGTGGTTTCTCTGTACTGAAGTAGCATCTGCAGATCTCAAAGCACCTGTTAACTAAAGCTGGCAAGACCCTGTTGGATAGATAACTGCTACCAGTGCTTTTTTTTTCATAAATATATATAAAAACAATGCCGGTACTCCAGAGGAAAAGTTGTTGAGCTGAAAAAAAAAGGTCATGGGGCTGGCATTGCCCTTTTAAGAGACGTGGCCCCTTTAAGAAATGCGGCAGTCTTGCCATTTTCATTACAGAGGTGCCGATACGCTCTGTTCTTTCCAGGTAAGCGCTGACCGAGCAGTACCATCACAAAAAAACCACTAGCAGCTACCATCTCCATTGTACAGGGGAAACTGAGGCACAGAGTGCTCAAGGGACTTGTCCAGCATCACACAGCGAGTAAGTATGAGGTGAGACCAGAACTCAAGCATCCTGGCTCCTAGATCTGTGGCCTAACCACCAGCCCATGCCCAGAGAATCTGCCCAGCACTGCACACTACGCTCCTCTCAGCCAGCCCGCTTCGAGGGACCCGAGAGATTTTGATACACTGAACACTGGAGCGCTTGCTCAAGCCTTTTAAAGTCCCCATCAGCCCTAACAGAAACCATGGATTAAGAGGCAGAGAAAGGCCCCTAAGTGCTACAACAGCCTCATGATTAAAGCCAACAAATGGGAGCTGAAAGATCTGGGTCCTTCAGATCCTGGCTCTGCCACTGACTTGCTGTGGGACCTTGGGCAAGTCACGTTGGCTCACTGGGCCTCAATTTCCCCACCTGCGAGATGGTGATGAAGAGACTTCCCTGCCTCTTTGCACCATGAGATAAAGTCCAGAAAGCCGGAGGAGATGGCACGATGGGATTCCGATCAGCGAAGATCACAGGGGAAGCCAACGCATGTGTCATCTCCCCAGGAGAACTGTCTCCTTCCCATGTCTTGTCTTTCGTTTGCAGATCCCCCCCTCTCCTTGAATCAATGCCGGTTCCCCACATTGCTGGGCTCAGCCAGCTTCTAAAAGGAGCCTTCATCTTTACCAGATGGTGAAATGTGCCGGTTTGTTCTGACTAAACCCACACCTGCTG